ATTATATGCTTTAAAATATTATAGTATATTTTTAAAAAACAGTTTGAAAACAACTAAAAAAATTATGATCAGATAACACGAAACGGGGAATTAAATAAGTTGAGAAAATTAAAATAAATTTTATTATTTTTATAAAGTTGTGTATTTTAAATTATTTTGAAACTTAATTATAAATTGAGGTTATAGTATATGGTTTGTTAAATAGTTTCGTAGAAGGTGAAATACTGTAAATAGGAAGATAAAATATTTATATTATATTTATAGTAATGTTTAACAAAAAGATAAAAGCAAATATAGTTTTTTATTTGTGTGCTCAGAAATATACGTAAATTAGCCAGAAGCAATATTAATATAACCTTCAATATATATCACTTCTAATGAATTAGTTGATAAAAATATTAGCATTAATTGCTCAATATTTTCAGATATTGTTATTACTTAACGATAGTCTGTCATTTTATAAAGAAAATTATTTTTCGTGAAATAATTAACTAGCCTGACAAAATATTTACTGTGAATTTAAAAAATAATATTGCTTTTACAATTTCGCAGTATTGGTGTAACTTTAAAACTAGTTTATATTTTTACAGTTTATAGTTAATATCATATTTTTATTATAGTTATTTGGAAATAATATTTTTATTTTTAAAAATATTAAGTTTAATTATTTATGCAATAAATATGCTAATTATATTTACATTAATTAAATAGAAATTAATTTTACAATATTTTTTAATGAATAAATTAAAGTAATTATAAATATTTGCGGTTGCTGATAAATATTTATAATTAAAATTTATTTTAATATTTTTTCTTATTATGAATAATTAAAAATGTTAATTACCATTTTAAAATTAAAGGTTTATAGTTCGTAATATATTAAATTATAACAAACTACATATTGTTAATTATACATTATTATAAGCTAAGTGTACATTGACTTTTGCCATAATTTTAAACTTATTCAACATGTTCAAGGTTAATTGCTTTTAGCATACCATTAAAGATATATTGATAAAATAGTCTCTCCCCTCTACAATTATCTACCTGTCTAAAAATATTTTAAAAATTAATTTTGAGTTTTATCAGTGAAAACCTGTTATGATTTTTTAAATATTATCAGATCTCCACAATGTCATTTACATTTTGGTATGCTACATAAAATAATGTTATAGCACTTACATTTACACATTATTAACATTTTCATTAGAATTTACATTATTATTGCTTATACAATTATTGTTAATAGCACCCCTGTCCATTTCTACATTATCTGGCTTTTGATTAACAGCTAATCGCTTATCAAATATAGCTTTTGATACAATAATCTGTAACCCAATAAACGGTAACTCAAACCACGCGGTCAATGGTATCATAATTGCATAGTTTAAGACCACATACACCAGGGTATACAGCATTTCCATGGGTACAGCCCATAGTACCAACTCCCGGACACTATCGGGGGTAAACTGTAATTCCGGTGCGATGTCTAAAAATATGAGTCCCAGTAACAGGTGGTGGAGGTATGAGGTCTGTTGGCATACCCTGAATGGGCGCCAGTACTCTGAAGTACCGAACCTGTATAGGAATTGCCAAAAATGGTGGTTGCTCTCCATGGCATGTATGATTAAATAGCATGTGATCAGGGTCGGTACGATACCGGACAGGGCGTGTTCAACGGCTGTAAATATGGGGAGGCCGTCAAATAAGGCTGTATGTCTTAATTCGCAAATAATAAAGGTTGATAGTATATATATGGATAGTAGCAAGATTATTTTTGGAGCTATCCGGGAGGTGTATATTTTTGTAAGGTGACCCTTCTCCATTATGTAGCCAAATAGCATGCCCGTAAAGTAGGCTGTCCCGTAGCGGAATGCAGTTATGTGTAGGTAGTACATGGATCCACCTGGTTTACTATTAAATATATGGAATTAATTTTTAAAATTATGTTTGTTGTTATTTTATTTGTTTTGCAATATTAATACTAGTAATATTATTTTTAGTAAACTGTACAAATATATTTCTACAATATATTAAAGTGTTTAAATATTATCGAAATTATTATATGGTTTATCTTGCGTTTCAAATAATAATTTAAGTTTTAGTATAATTTAAAAAATACTTACTAAAAAGGATTAATGGGGTTATTATGGTAGATGAGTACATCCCGGGCCCCTTCAATGGTGATGCCATTTGAGTATATGATATAAAACACGGAACAAATAGACCATAAATTTCCCATAATTAAGAAAGTTATCCCTATTTTAGGTTTCCTTAAAATTTTAAAACAATTAATAAAATAATATTTATACATTTAAAATATTGAATAAGGTAAATTAAAATCATACTTAATCAATAAAAGTGCAAATATCGGAGTAATCAACACAAATTGAACTAGCACATTATACGTCCATGTATGCGGCATACACTAAAATTATAAAATTTAAAATTAATTTTAAAAAATATTTTTATAATTATCATAAATAATTGTACCAGTCCATTTTCTTTATTAACAGAATTAGCGATGAACAATAAGTTATACCACCAATTATTATAACACAAATACTCCACTTGTTTATTATAAAATCTATGGGGTATCCAATACCGGACGTATATAACGTAGAAGTAAAAGGACAGGTAGTATATGGGAATAACGCGTAAAATGCGATCGAAATAAAAACGGGCCGTAACTGTGCCCACGCGAGTGCCGTCCGTTTTGTTCAGTTGTCGCGTAAACCACTTGATTGATGCGACTCCGGCTGATAGTATGGTGACGTCCATCGCATATTTAAAGCCGTAGTAACCAGGGAACCTTTGTGTTTATTTAATGGTTAGTTTCTAATTGAGTGAGTGGTGAGTGTGTGTGTGTGTGTGTGTGTGTGTGTGTGTGAGAGAGAGAGAGAGAGAGAGACTGTAATATTAAATTTAATAATGTTTTATATATTTAATATACAATAATCTGAAATAATTATGGATTGATCGGTTCATTCATCATGAAAATTGTTTATGTGCTTATTATAACTAAATTTATTAAATTATACCATTTATTTTATAGTTTTATTTTTGTATTACGGTATTAAATATAAAAAAAATTATTATTAGAATTTATAAGCAATAATAATATTCAGAATATTATTTATAAGTAAATTATGTATATTGTATTTATGTAGCAATAGTTACCAATAGTGGTGATCCACAAAATTTAACATAAACTCCAGGTTATCCGTACGGTAAGCATGAATAGTGCCCATAAAATGATAAAAGAGCGAGGCCAAATGAGCACCGGCTCGTATGCCATCAAATATCCGACTTTTGTCGTCCGGAATATTCTGGTCTACATTCGGCTTATTCTTTACGTTTACACGAATCACATGCTTATAGATAAAGGGCTGAGACATACAGTTCCACACATTTCTAAAAATATTTTTATCATTGATATTTATTGTATTTTTATTAAACAAATGTCTAAAAGTAGCAAGTATAATTAATATAGACCACAATGAGACTATCACTAAAAATATTACTAGCTCAATCATTTTAGAGTTGTTTGAGTGAGTAAAAATTCAATAGTTTATAAAATGTGAAAACTTTAAAACTTATCTATTTTTTAGGTAAAATACATTTATTATGTATGAGGGGTATGAGAAATATATTTTATACTAAAATGATTTAAAAACCATTAAGTGTATAATACTGGTACCTATAAGTAATATCTTTGATCTAACCTTCAGTATTATAATTACTTTCAGGCAAATAGTGGTCCACTATTTGAGATGTTAAAGTGGATGTCACTATCAAATGCCATACCAAATGAGACTATAATATATTTATTTAAAAGCTTTATTGCCATAAACTCTTAATTTTTAAGAAATTAAAAGTTTAGTTAATATAGATATTGATATAGACGGAAAGGACTTTGTATTGGCTTTGGATATAGATGGACAGATATACAGTTTTGGTTATAATAAATGGGGACAACTGGGAAGGGATGTGAGTAGGCATGGCTATCATAAACCAGATATTATCACATACTTTACATCAAATTACTTGATTATTGCTGAACTAAGTTGTGGGTCTAGCCATACATTAGCCCTTACATTAAATGGTATAGTGTGTGGATGGGGATGTCATTTGTTTGGCCAGGTAGGTTGCGGAAAGTCTGTTAAAGATTTCAGTCAAATCCCGTTGGAAATAGAATTTCCAAATGCATGGAAAATTGGCAAGGTGGTTTGCAATGAATTAACATCATTTGGCATTACATTCGAGGGTCAGGTGTTTATGTGGGGAAAACCAAATTTCAAAGTTTTACGTTCACCACAATTGTTAGAAAATGTCACTAATATTAAAAACATTTGTTTCGATAATAATAGCAAATATTTGCTATCAAACGATGGATTCATATATGTATACAATTTTCGTACCAGAAATATGCAAAATATAGCTACAATTGTATTTACTGAAATGAGGCAATTATTTTCGTACCTGGATGCATGTAATAAATCATTAATAACATGTATATCTGGAAATAAAATACACAAAATTAAATCAAAGCAAATAATTGAAACAAAGTATAGCACTTTTGATGACTATTACGCGCATGAATTTAATATGACTTTAAATACTATAACCCCAAATGAGCAAGACATTTTTGAACATCTAATTGATCCAATTACGCATGGTAAAACAGCAATATTTTTTACATATAACTAATGAAGATTCATATTGTGTATAATTCATATTTTTATATAGAAATCATAAAGTGTATATTTAATAAGCCTTTCAGGACCACTTGTAAACTTGGTGAAGGAACTTATGGGCAAGTCTATAAAGTTCATAACATAAACGATAGTAAATTTTATGCTATAAAGATATGTGAATTAAGAGGTGAATATGATTGCTAACATTATTTTAATTTTAATTATAAATTTAATATAAATTTTGATTTATAATTTTAAATTTATTTTAAAGGTTTATCAACTAAGGAAAAACAAAATGTATTAAATGAAACTCAAAGTCTTTTGAAACTTCGGTCAGAGTTTGTGATTCAATACTATTATCAATGGATTGAACAAAATTGTCTATACTTTCAAATTGAGTTATGTATCGATAATCTCAACAATGTTTTGAAAACTAAGAAATCATTGTTTACTGAATTGATGACTATTTATGAGTTTTATATTTCGTTTCATATGTTCCAAAAACTCACAGAATGTGTGCAGTATTTGCATGAATTTAAACCACAGATCATTCACAGAGACCTCAAACCGGATAATGTGTTGATTTCAATGGACGGACGCATAAAGTTATGTGACTTTGGTTTGGCTAAAGAGGTCTATAATCTGGAGCCGTATTTAATGTCTACAGCAAAACATACGGCAGATGTAGGAACTGAAAACTATATGGCACCGGAAGCTCAGACTAAAGATTACGATCATAAAGCTGATATCTATAGTCTAGCACTAATTGGGGCTCAAATTTTTGGTTTCGATACATACGATATAATTGAGGGAAAGTATGTTTATTAATTTCCATATTTAGTTTAATAGTTTAGTTTTAACTGTATTTAATTATTCCAGAATTAATTCGCCTACCACATACAATCAAGATATTAATGAATTAATGACAAAAATGAATGCATTATTGGTGTCAATGGCTGTCAATCAATATTCACGAAATGGTTCAACAGATTGGACACAACGACCTGAATGTTCGAACATTTTGTCACAATTATTTATGGCAAATAAGCCCATTATACAGGAAACTTATTTAACTTCATTAATAAATACTAGATTCTCTGGCGGTCATAATATTTTTTATAACTTTTTTCTGCAAAGCAAACCTATATGTATTATCCAAAAGTCTACGGAACTCAAAGGTTAAATGATTTTGTACATGTTAAATTTTAAAATATTCAAATAAGGATTTCTGCATTTTAAATTGTTTATAGCTTACGACTAAAATATAAAACGCTTAAGTGTTTCACGTCAAGACAAGCCTAGAAACTATGATATAACTTATTGTCAAAATTAGTCCTAAAATGAAACATACACATAGGTTTAAAGTTTAAATAGCTATGGATAATCTTACAGTACTATTCATAAATCCCAGTCAACCTGATTAGTATATTTTAATCAATTACTGTAGTTATTTGTATACATAGTTTGAAACATCAAGGAACGAAAGTAAAATGAGTGGTTATGATTGGCCTATAACATACATTAACAAAATTTACGGTCAACAGCAATTACTAATGTTATAGATATTAGTGACTGAGCTCTGTAGCCCATGAATGTTAATCTATGGCCTATAACATATTTAACATTTTGAATTGACTAAACTTGGCAAATTAAGTAAATTGGTGGCTATCATGCAAAAGAAGGACATTTATTTTGCACTGCAAACTGTATACATAACCTAATCAATGCTTTCAATAATACCACATGTTTCTTACTTATGAAAAGTATTGATTAGGTTATGTATACAGTTTGCAGTGCAAAATAAATGTCCTTCTTTCCCATGATAGCCACCAATTGTTTAATTTACTTGCATCCATCACTGACATCCTCATTTTGTTCATTGAAATAACAAGGTTAATGGATTGATTTGAACCGTCAAAAATAACATAAATGCAGCAATTATTACAAATCTATGAACACATAATACTAATATACCATTGTATACAATTAAATCTAATGCTATTTTAATGACAAAATGGGATGAATGCAATGGTTAAAAGTAAATTCAACAAATTAATTTATTTAATTTGCCAAGTTTGTTAAGTTAAAATCTTAATTATGTTACTGGTTAATTATTCATAACAATCATAACCAATCAAATTATTTTTTTGTCCTTCAATGTTCCCAACTAAGATGTTTTATATTTATACAGTGGATATAATTGAAGTCATAAATAACTCCATGTCTACGGTAACTGACCAAAGTATCATGAAATATGATGCATCATCATTTAAACCACAAACTTCACAACAGTTATATTCACTATTAAAAATACCAATACCAGGTATATATGTATTTTCTAAAAATTTCAAAGCTTAGATTTAATCATTCTACCTTGATCTATTTGTGAATAAATACATTCTTAAACTTAAATAAAATCATGTGAACAAATAGACAATGGTAGAGTAATTATAATTAAACTTTTGAATTGTAAATTTAATTTATAAAAATAATTGAAATAAATATTGATCATTTACAATTAATAGGAGAAATTGACGAGATGATTAAACGAATAACTGAAATAAGGGAGTTATTTAACATTAAGTCCGAATATATTATTGAGTACTATAATTCTTGGATTTGTAATAATTACATATTGGTACAAACGGAATCGTGCACAAAAACACTCTGTGACATTATTTGTGAAAAAATTGAAATTTTTAAAACTCAAGACCAGACAATGGTTTGCTTTGATTACTATATGTCCTATGAATTGGTGAAACAATTCTTAGAATGCGTTCAATATTTACACGAATCGGTCGATAAAACTATTATTGATTCCAAACTGAATCCCAAAAATATATTGATTGCCGATAATGTAAGGAATGGTAGGTTTATTAGAGTGAACCTATTTAATAATAACATACAAGGTAATTTAATAATTGAGAAGGCAGCATATTGCTATTACTACATCGAAAAGATTATACGCGATTTATTTGAACCCACCTTATCAAAGTAAGCTTGGTCATTAGATAAATATTTATTTTAAATTAATATCAATTATTGTATTACCATGCAGAGTTGAAAATCAAAAACTGTTGGGAGTAAACATCAATAATATTCAAGACTTTCTAAATGGTCTCAAAAACACAGTGGATGTGGAGGAAAGGGGTGTCGAGGATGTGTTGAATGAATTCAAATACATTTTCGATCATAATATACAAATTACCAATAATATGATTTCCACATTTAAGACTCATTATGCAACATTAAATAACCAGGAATATAATTTCTTTATTGAAAACGCTTTTGTGAAAGCAATTACTAAAGAGTAATTATTGTTTTTTAAATGTTAAGCTTTTTAATTTAAATCTATTTTTATAAAACAAATATTGTACAACATAACAAGTTTTATTAAAACTTGCTAGTTAATACTTTGTGTTGATTTTTGAATATATGGATTTCCCCATTTAATAATAATTAGTATTTTAAAAATGAAATTATTGTTACAATTTTCGTATTGAATTTAATAAATCATGTATTTTAAAGTTATACTGCATCTTACAAATATTTTAATAAAACACTTTCAAATCATTATGATATATTATATTTCATTAAATTATAAGATAATTTTTATGATAACATATTTTTTAGTTTAATATACTTATTAGTAATAGATTATAAAGTATGGGACTTAAAAGGTTATTTCTGTCAAAATTAAAACTATTTAAAACCTACATTAACA